TAGGGATAGTGTTAGGGTTAGTGTTATGGTAATGATGATGGCAGTGGTGATGATGGTGGTGGTGATGATGGTGGTGATGGTAATGGTAATGATGATGGCAGTGGTGATGATGGTGGTGGTGATGATGGTGGTGATGATGATGGTGATGGTAATGGAAATGATGATGGCAGTGGTGATGATGGTGGTGATGATGGTGGTGATGGTAATGGTAACGATGATGGTAGTGGTGATGATGGTAATGGTGGTGGTGGTGTGCTACTGGTGGTGATAGCAATGTTGGTAACGATGATGGCAGTGGTGATGATGGTGGTGGTGACAATGGTGATGATGGTGGTGGTGTTGCTATGTGGTAATAGTAGTGGTAACGATGATGGCAGTGGTGATGATGGTGGTGATGATGATGGTGTTGCTCCTAGTGGTGATAGTGCTGTAGTAATAAAGGCAGTGGTGATGGGGGTGGTGTGGCTCCTAGTGGTGACAGTGTTGGTGGTAATGTTGATGGCAATGGCGGTGATGGTGATGATGATAGTCTGGTAGTTATGGTGGTGATAATGATGATGGCGATGACGATGATGGTGCTAATGGTGGTGGTGGCCATGACAAATATACATGAAATGTACTATGTCCTACTGTCCTCTAACCCTGACCTTTTGGGGATCCTATAGCCCCCCTGCAGGCCCTCTACCTGGAAGTGGTACCAGTCATTGGCATCAACCAGGAGGTGAACCTCACAGCTGTGCTACTTCCCCTGAACCCCAACCTCACTGTCTTCTACTGGTGGATCGGCCACAGCCTGCAGGTAGGCTGGCCCAAGCCCTCATGGCCCTCTTTCCTGCTGGCTCACAGCCGTGGTACAGGAAGGGGGAGAGTGCTGCCCTAGGTATTGAGTAGCAGGCACAGTGTGGGCCACACTCTTCACCCTGGGGGCCCTGCTGGGGCAACTGAGAGGGACACGCACTAACCTTCCTTCACCCAGTACTCACCTGGGCATCTGTTTAGGACCCCTCTGTCCATCTACACAACACAAACTGGATCAGACCCTGCCTTCTCCTGGGAAAAGGATGGGAACAAAGTGGCTGGGCTAAGTTAGGGTGTGTCAAAGGTCATAGGAGAGGACAGGTGAGATGTGAGAGCTCCATTTCTAGTGGGGGGGGGGGCACCAGAGAGGGTTTCAGGGAAAGGGACCCGGGCCCGAATTTTGAACCTCCACAAATCTTCACCCTGGGGGCCCTGCTGGGGCAACTGAGAGGGACACGCACTAACCTTCCTTCACCCAGTACTCACCTGGGCATCTGTTTAGGACCCCTCTGTCCATCTACACAACACAAACTGGATCAGACCCTGCCTTCTCCTGGGAAAAGGATGGGAACAAAGTGGCTGGGCTAAGTTAGGGTGTGTCAAAGGTCATAGGAGAGGACAGGTGAGATGTGAGAGCTCCATTTCTAGTGGGGGGGGGGCACCAGAGAGGGCTTCATGGAGAAGGACGCTGGACCAGATTTTGAAGCCTCACATATAGACCTGGGGTGTACCCTGTAAGCACTGGGGAGCCTTGGGCAGCTCTTGAGCAAGAGAGAGCCCAAGTCAGCAGTATTCCTGGCAAGAGGGTGAGGCTGTCCCTCTTCAGGCTGGAGTGAGGGGGGGGGGTGTCTCAAGACCTAAAGGGGCATCCTTCACTCACCCAGCGCATAGCAGCCTCGCACCCCCAGTGTAAGTTTGTTAAACAGCATCTTCAGGCGCAGATGCTGAAGCCTGAGAGAAGGGAGGGGACAATCTGGGTTGTGTCCCCTAGAGTGGGAAGGTCCAGGAAGGAGCATGGGTCCTGGGCTTGAGCGTCAGCTCAGCCATGTCTGGCCGAATACTCCACACATGTCACTTGGCGTCCCAGAGCCTCGTCTCTGCATTGACAAGGGGCTGAGGGGGCCTCTCCTGCCTTTGAAGCACATTGCCACATACCATATTAAGTGTGGGCGCCTTCACAGGGCACCGGGTTGCAAGGATGAGGGTGCTGTGCACATACCTGATGCCACAGCTGTGTGTGGGGACGGGAAGGTGGACCGGGCTCGGGAGAGGAGGCCCAGCCTGGCAGCCACACCAGGCCCCTCAGAACCGTGTGGGAAAGCTCAGGGCAGCCTCTGAGAGGGAGGGGGCTTGGGGATGGCGTCCCGGGGCATTGCCTGAGCTGGCCGGCCCCCACCTGGTTTAGATCCAGGGGCCGCGGACAGGCCGTCTCTGCCCTCACACCTTCCCTGGGTGCTGCAGATACTCACAGGGGGCCATTTGCCAACAGAAGCCGAGGGACAGCCAGTGTCCTCAGTGTGGCCCTGGGCGGTAGACCACAGGGCCAATGCCCACTAATGCCCAGGCCAGGCCAGGCCAGGCCCATGATCCCACTGTGTTCCTGCAGCCCCTCCTGTCCCTGGACAACTCTGTGACCACGCAATTTGCAGACCCAGGGGCTGTGCGTGTGACGGTGCAGGCCGCCTGTGGGAGCTCGGTGCTGCAGGACTCCAGGGTCATCCGTGTGCTGGGTGAGTCCTTCCCGGGCGGGCTGCATGGCATCGTGTCTCTCTTCAGTTCAGGATCTGGCGACCTGGGGTGCATAGCCATGGGCATACTGGGCACTCCAGAGTGGGCTTGGGTGGGAAGAGGGGAGTCAGAACACAGCTCTGACCCTCCCAGGGAGTCAGCCTTGGCAAAGCCTCCTAGTCTCTCTGGCTTCATTTTCCATCTGTAAAATAAAATGTGTGTCATGGCACTCATGGGACACAAGTGAGGACACTGCTAATGACTTGACAAGGTCCCCCAGTACCAAGAGCGCCAGGCTGGGCACCAGGGCTGCCTGCCTCTAAGGCCCATCCCCAGGGCACCCGCCATCGAGTGGTCATACGTGAGGGCTTCGTTGTACAGACTGCGTTGAGACCCCACGTCCTCAGCTGTCTGTGCTCACCAGTGACTGAGATGCCCCTCATGGGGGAGATTTAGAAGGAAATCTGGCTCTGAGCATGGAGGAGACACCCCAGTGCTCTTGTCCCATCACTACACCAGTAAAAAGCTTGTGTTACTTGAAGAACAGCCTCTGCTGTGGACAGCAGCCGTCGGTTAAGGATTTAGTGGGAGCTGTGCGGTGTGCAGAGGTTGGGCTGCCCACCTGTGCTCGTCACACCAGGGAGCCACCCTTGGACAGTCTTTCATGCACTGCAGAGTACCAGAGCTCACTGCGAGATGTGGGTTCATGCTCACTGAGCATTCGTCTCGAGCCTCTCAGCCCAGCAGTCACCCCCACTTCATGAGGGAGAAGACCGAGACTACGGCCGGGCAGTGCATGGAGAGACTGCAGTTTAGCCCTGAGTCTCCTGCTGACGAGCACACGGCTCTGAACCATGGACCGTGGGGCCTGTGGCAGAGACAGCCGGCCTCTGCCCTTGGGGCATTCTGAGTCTAGTGGAGGACCAGCCTGGTTGAAGCCCATGGGCCCCTGCAGGAAGAGAGGTTGACCTTGTGGGATGTGTCCATCCTTGTGAGTTTGAGTTTGGGGGTATTTCTCACAGAGCAGACTTGCCACATGCCAGACCCTCTCTGCAAAGTCAGCACGACTTCCCTCATCACCGCCAACTTCATTGTTGTCGCCGTTGTTATTAGATGCAGCCAGTGAAGTAGGCCCTGCCCAAGCAGTCCCTGAGCTGCTGGTGCACAGCGAGGGCTCTTGCTTTCCAAACAGAAAGTCAGGACCACCCTCTGAGCTGCCTGAGAAAGTGGTGGGCACTGTGGGCCAGAGGGTGTGGACTGGGGGCCCTTCTGGACGAAGCAGGGTGTGTGGCTGCTTCCCCCCGGGATCAGAGCCAGGACGTCCAGGACTGATCAGCTCTCCCGTCTCTGCCTCTTTCCAGATCAGTTCCAGGTCGTGCCTCTGCAGTTCTCCAAGGAGCTGGACACCTACAACCCCAACACCCCCGACTGGAGGGAGGACGTCGGCCTGGTGGTCACCCGGCTCCTCTCCAAGGTGCCCAGCACTTGGGGCCGCATGCCTCCCCCAGCACTTGCCGAGGTGCCTCTGGTTTCCAGAGGAGCCTGGGGTCACTAGGACCATGCCAAGCAGGACAGGCAACCGGTGCTCCCTAAAGTCATGGTGTTCTGGCCTTCAGGCCATTTGGAGGGTGCCTGGAAGCCAGGTGGGGCCTTCTGCCCTGGCTCAGGGAGACTTGCAGCTGGACTGTCACCTGGCAGGGGAAGGATAGGGCCATGTGCGCTTTGCACATCTAGTGAGCACCAGCTGTTTGTGTAAGAGCTTGCTGCTGTCTGCTGATAGTCCAGTCTCTTTAAAGTGACTATTGTTTATCCACTAAATTTCCGTTCTGGGCCAGACCCCGGGGACAGAAGGATCAGGTGTGATCACTCCCTTCTGGGAGCTCACAGAAGCAGACAAAGGCAGTGCATGAGGCGGGCAGTCAGACACCAAGGCTCCCCTGAGAGAAAGACCAGCCCCGGAGCCATCCAAGGCCACTGTAGGCTGAGGCCCACCCTGACCCTCCTTCCTCTCATCCTGTGACTTATTCTGGTAAAGGTGTCCTAGGCACTGAAGGATGAATAGTTTTCCAGTTGCAGGCACATGGAGTGGATTCCCAGGAGTCAGAGGGACCCACACAAGCAGGGTCTTGTGGGTTGAGGGAGTTGTCAGAGGGTGTGTAGTCATAACTGGGTCTATGTGTTGGGTAGGTGACAGGAGTCCACAGGGCCCCGTGACAGAACTGGGTGCCATGTTAAGGAGCCTTGACTTACCCCACTGCCTGGGAACATTCAGCCATGGAGAGACCTGTCACACCTGCCACAGTATGACAATGGGCTGAAGGTCCAGGAGAGCTGGGAGAGGAGGCAGCGCAGGGCCATCCAAATGGTGATGCAGGAGTCCAGAAGAGTTTGCAAGATGACCAGAACTCAGGCCAAGAGAGGAGAGAGGGTGTTTCTGAGGGCCCCAGAGTGAGGCAGGGGACAAGAAAGACAAGCAGGTCTAAGTGGCTTGTCTGTCCCCACAGGAGACCAGCGTCCCTGAGGAACTCCTGGTGACAGTGGTGAAACCAGGGCTGCCCACCCTGGCTGACCTCTATGTGCTCCTGCCCCCACCCAGGCCCACAAGGAAGAGGAGTCTCACAAGTGACAAGGTATGACCCATGGCCACCAGACTCCCAGTCCTCCCTGCACAGCAGGGTTTGGTGTCACTCACATAGGCAGGAACATCTCACTGGTTGATCTTGAAAGGGGTGACTTCTTGCCAGATTATAATCCTGCTCAGGGGAACTGCTTCTCCACCTGTGGCTGTACCTTCTCGAATTGCAGAAAATAGCAGCCCTACACCCCTGCAGAAATCACCCGGCCTCTGAGGTCACTACAGCAGGGGATTGAGGGGAAGGAGGACTTGGGGATGGACACGAGGGCACTCACTCACTTCCTCTCATGAGTCACTGGCTAGAGCTGGGCACATGTCGCCAACCTGCCTGCAAAGGGTGCTGAGAAATGTGGGTAGATGATGTCAAGGGGCACACCAGGGGCACAGGTTCAGGATAAAGCAGAACGGCCCCATGCACCCACAAACATCCTTACTACACAGGGGAGAACGGCCCCATGCACACACAAACATCCTTATTACACAGGGGAGAACGGCCCCATGCACACACAAACCCCCTTCTGACACGGGAGCAGAACGGCCCCATGCACACACAGACATCCTTATTACACAGGGGAGCAGAATGGCCCCATGTACACACAAACATCCTTATTACACAGGGGAGAACGGCCCCATGCACACACAAACCCCCTTCTGACACGGGAGCAGAACGGCCCCATGCACACACAGACATCCTTATTACACAGGGGAGCAGAATGGCCCCATGTACACACAAACATCCTTATTACACAGGGGAGAACGGCCCCATGCACACACAAACCCCCTTCTGACACGGGAGCAGAACGGCCCCATGCACACACAGACATCCTTATTACACAGGGGAGCAGAATGGCCCCATGTACACACAAACATCCTTATTACACAGGGGAGAACGGCCCCATGCACACACAAACCCCCTTCTGACACGGGAGCAGAACGGCCCCATGCACACACAGACATCCTTATTACACAGGGGAGCAGAATGGCCCCATGTACACACAAACATCCTTATTACACAGGGGAGAACGGCCCCATGCACACACAAACCCCCTTCTGACACGGGAGCAGAACGGCCCCATGCACACACAGACATCCTTATTACACAGGGGAGCAGAATGGCCCCATGTACACACAAACATCCTTATTACACAGGGGAGAACGGCCCCATGCACACACAAACCCCCTTCTGACACGGGAGCAGAACGGCCCCATGCACACACAGACATCCTTATTACACAGGGGAGCAGAATGGCCCCATGTACACACAAACATCCTTATTACACAGGGGAGAACGGCCCCATGCACACACAAACCCCCTTCTGACACGGGAGCAGAACGGCCCCATGCACACACAGACATCCTTATTACACAGGGGAGCAGAATGGCCCCATGTACACACAAACATCCTTATTACACAGGGGAGAACGGCCCCATGCACACACAAACCCCCTTCTGACACGGGAGCAGAACGGCCCCATGCACACACAGACATCCTTATTACACAGGGGAGCAGAATGGCCCCATGTACACACAAACATCCTTATTACACAGGGGAGAACGGCCCCATGCACACACAAACCCCCTTCTGACACGGGAGCAGAACGGCCCCATGCACACACAGACATCCTTATTACACAGGGGAGCAGAATGGCCCCATGTACACACAAACATCCTTATTACACAGGGGAGAACGGCCCCATGCACACACAAACCCCCTTCTGACACGGGAGCAGAACGGCCCCATGCACACACAGACATCCTTATTACACAGGGGAGCAGAATGGCCCCATGTACACACAAACATCCTTATTACACAGGGGAGAACGGCCCCATGCACACACAAACCCCCTTCTGACACGGGAGCAGAACGGCCCCATGCACACACAGACATCCTTATTACACAGGACAGTTTTGAATAGTAGCCCTCATAAAGGGGACAAAAGATCTGCTGTGTGACAAGGATGGGAAGGGGACTCAGGGCTGAATCCATATCCCCTCACAGCCACTATCCTAGCTAAAATGAAAAAGCTGACAATACCAAGTGGTAGCAAGGAACTGGAGAAATCAGCCCCTCGCACTGCTGGTGGGAATGGTGCAGCCGCTGCCAAAGACAACCTGGTGGTTCCTTAACGTGGTTACATGCAGTAACACATGACCTGACCATTTTACTAGGTATATACCCAAGAGGAATAAAAACGTATGTTCACACAGAAACGGTGTATGTAAGTGCTTAGTTTGTGGCATCTTTATTCCTAATGGTCCCAAAGTAGCCACAACTCAACTGTCCATCAACTGATGAATGGATAAACAAAATGTGGTCTAGCCATACAATAGGATATTAGTCAGCCATAAAAAGGAATGAAGCACTAACACCTGCTACATTGTGGATAAACCTTGGAACATTATGCTAAATGGGAAATTAAAAAAAAAACCAGACATAAAAGACTGTGTATTATATGATTCTATATGTAATACCCAGAATTGGAAAATCCATAGAGACAGAAATATACTAGCGGAGGGATTATCTGTCCTAATTTCAAAATATACTATAAAACTATAGTAATTAAAACAGCATGATACTGGCATAAAAACAAACACATAGGTCAGTGGAACAGAACAGAGAGCTCAGAAATAAATCCACACATTTACAGTCAAATGATTTTCAGTAAAGCTGCCAAGAACACATGGGAAATGGACAGTCTCTTCTATAAATGATGTTGACAAAACTGGCTATCCAAATATGGAAGAACGAAATTAAACTCTATCTCTTACCATGTACAGAACTCAACTGAAAACGGTTTAAAGACTTAAGCGTAAGACCTGAAACCGTAAGACTACTAGAAGGAAGTATAGAGTAAGACTACTCAACATTGATCTGGCCAATGATATGACTCCATATAAGTACAGGCAACTAAAGCAAAATTAGACAATGGGATTGCAGAAATGCTCCTGCACAGCAGAGGAAATGATCAACAGAGTGAAGGGACAACCTGCAGAATGGGAGAAAACATTTGCAAACCATATATCTGGCAAAGGGTTCATGTCCAAAACATATAAGAAACTCAAACACCTCAATGGCAAGAAAACAAGTAACCCAACTTAAAAAGGGCTTCAATGGACACTTCTCAAAAGAAGACATACAAATGGCCAACACACACTTGAAAAATTGCTCCAGGTCACTAATTATTGGGAAAATTAAAACCACCTGCTAGAATAGCTTTTATCAAAAGATAAAGATAGAAGCATATGGGTGGGCAATCAGGTCTTCAAGCTGGACCTGGCTCCTGGGTAACCACTGTTGCCTGGAAATGTGGGTAGGAATAAGAACAACCAGGAGAGAGTCCTACTATGTGCTGGTGCCTTATATATTTGTCATGTCACACAGACCCTGGAGGAGGTGCCTGTGTCCACAAGACCATCTCTAGCCCCACACACCCTCTAAGCAACATCCCCCACCTCACAATCCTGCAATATCCCCTGGAGTATTCCCCTTTACGTGGGGCATAACTCCCCTGCCCAAGTCTCTTGTCCTGCCATTTTGTCTTCATTATTCTACCTCTGCAAAGCCTTCCCTAACCATCACTGGAAGAGCTCTTTGAAGGGAGGGTCACTTCTGGGTCACCTTCATGTCCCTGTTGATGCCCGTGGTGGAAGTTGGCTGGGGGATTATTATTCGCATTTCACAAATGAGGACACTGAGCTCCAGGTTCAATGGCCCTCCCAGATCTGCCCTACAGCTTTAGAGTGTCAGATCCATATTCAAACTAGTCCACCCAGCTCTCCCTATCCCCCCCCCATAAGGGATTGCAGAGGACTCCTCCTCACCCTCTCCCTCCTCAGGCAGAGAACCCCCTCACCCTCCCATCCTCCAGTAAAGGCCCTTGCTCATCCCTCTCTGTGCTTTCAGAGGCTCATGGCCATCCAGCAGGTACTGAACTCACAGAAGATCAGCTTCCTCCTGCGAGGTGGGGTCCGGGTCCTCGTGGGCCTGAGGGACTCAGACACAGGTGAGAGGCCAAAGCTCCCCTGGCCGCCTTGGGTTCCCCTGCAGGGTGGGTGGGCAATCGTCCAGGCCCCAGGAGTACTTGTTACTGTGGGCCTTACGCAGGTGGCGCCGCCTCAGCTGCCCATAGCAGCTCCTGCTTTGCCTCTTATTAAGCCCTGTCAGTCACTACCAGGTTAGACCTACGGACCCCCCCTCCTCTCCACAGATGCGACATGGAGTGCTCACTTATGGTCTCAGATGACCTCTGCCCCAGCATTTCCCGCAGGGACTGTTCTCTTGGGATGCTCCTTTCCCTCTGAGGACAGGAATGTGCAGAAGCTCAGAGCTTCTTTCTGCTCTAGAGACACTGTGCCCATTAGGAAATGCAGCAGGTTCATCCCACGCTGCCATAAAAATAGTTGGGTCTGCCCACTCTCCAGAAAGAAGGCCCTGCAGCCAGCTGGCCCCAGGCCTGCATTACCTAGCAGGAGTCAGGACCAGGGAGTGGGGCAGAGCTCCTTCAGGGCCACGGCAGGGTTCCTTGTCCTTAGTCACAACAGAACTGAGCCAGAAGATGCGAATACCCCTGACCACAGAAGCTGGGCTGAGGGCAGAGGAGCCGTCGCGGCTACTAACAGCTCTTCTGCTTGCAGATTCGCAGAGGCCAGGAGCAGGCGGCGGCTACTGGGCCGTGGTGGTCCTCTTTGTCATCGGGCTATTTGCAGTGGGAGCATTCATTCTCTACAAGTTCAAAAGGCAAGGCCCTGTCTTCCCTCACAGGCCAGACACGCAAGGTGCTCCAGGCAGATCTAGAAAGGCCCCCCATGGTGGCGGCCTCCTGGCAGGACCTTTTTTTTTTCTTTTTTTTTGAAGAGGTTGTTTCTTTGGTTTTTTGTTTTGTTGTTTTTTGTTGTTTGTTTGTTTGTTTGTTTGTTTGCTATAGGGTGCATGCGTTCGCCAGACAGACAGAGAGAGACAGAGAGACAGAAAGTGAGAAATCACCTCCCCGGGGGGATGGCCATACTGCAATCCCTTCTCCTCCATTCTCCTCTCAGCATCTTGGGCACGCACGCACACACACCTGGAGTGAGTTTAAGCCCCCGGGTCCAGGACTCGAACCGCGGTCGACTACGTGCAAGTCCAGCAACATAGCCATTACACTAACTGCTGGGACCCTGGCAGGACCTTTGAAAGAGGTGGTGTGATGGGCTGTGGGGTGGAGCTTGCTTGCCCGGCCCTGTTCTGGTTCTCTATCACCTGGAGGTCTGCTGGGAGATGGCAACAGCTTACAACCCAGTGGTCATCTCTCACCTACGTCCCCAACTCTGCCCAAGGCATCCTAGCCCCATCTCAGACAGTTCCACCCACCCTTGGAGGGAGGACATTGTCCATGTCACAAATGAGGACACCAGACTCAGTGAGGTCAAGCTCACACACGTGGAAAGACATGGAGCTGGGCCCCGGCCCGGCCCACAGCCCTGCCCGCAGCCTCCTTCCTCAGGGGGAATGCCCAAGAACTGTCACCATTTGTACCCAGTGCTCTCCTGGCAAGGGCTCCCCGAGGTGCAGGTGGGGAGCTGCTCTAGAACACCCTGAGAGTGAGTGAGGGGAGGACTTGGGCAGGGTGGGCTAGCAAGGGCCCTGTGCGTTTAACCAGGAGGGGCGTTGGCCCCTCGCTTCTCTGAATAAAATGGGGGTAATAACCCTCCTCCCTGGGACTGACCATGCAATCCTGGAAGGGCCGGCCAATCTGAACTTCCCTGGATCCTGGGCCCACAATGACCAAGAAGTATCACCAGACCCTTTTCCTGCAAACAGTGTCCAGATTTGACCCTGGTGTTTCTTCTCAGTCTCCCTGGTCGGGGTCACCTGTGAGGACAGTCTGCGGATACAGTCCACCCTTGCCTTCTTGCTTGTTTGGAGCCAAGGGCCCCACCTCCCCAGGCTGTACCCTTGCCCCAGGCCCTGACCCTGCCACCCCGCCTCAAGACTCCACTCCTGCTTGCTTGGAAGAGCCTCTGGTCTTGTAAGCAGGACTTTATATGCCTCTCCCTCATGCTGGGCACTGGCTCAGGTTCTAGGACACAGGGCTGACTGTGCCCTGGCTGGGGCATGTCCGGCAGCTCCATACCTGCCTCCTTACTCAGTTCCAACTGACAGGGTGGCCCAAGGTGCTCGAGAGTATGGAATAGGCACCTGAGCTATTCTGGAGAATCTCAGAGGACTTCCCTGAGGAGGTGATTCTAGTGAAGATTCTAAAGGATGATTGAGTTTGCTGGGCAAAGAGGCAGAACGGGTCCAGGCTACATCCTCCCTGACAACCAAGTTTACAGAAGAGGCCCTGGCTTATTGATGGGACCACTCAGGTGTTCCTTGGGCACCTCAGATTCTGATCATACTTACCATCCTCCTCCACAGAAACCCCCCTGAGCCAAAGACACACCTCTACCAGGGGCCCAGGCCAGGGGTGCTGCTCCTCTGTCTGCTCCCCCCCCTCAGCCCAGACAGCATCACTTAGCATCCCTCCTCCTGGCCCCCCAGCAGGAGAGCAGGCAGACTGCAGCTGAGGGGGCTGGTCACAGGAAGTGCCAGCGGCGGCATTTGAACCTAGTCTTGCCGGTACTGAAGCCGGCCCGCTTGCTCCCCTGTAAACAGAAGCAGTTAAGGATGGGCTGGCAAACCCCGGTATTTTATCTCTCCGTACTGGCTCTGGGTTCTGAATTTATTGGGGCTGGGTGGAAGGTACCCCCCTTGCAGGCCGAGGCCCCTGCTGCTCTCCCTCACCCCAGGTAGCCATGTCCTCGGATCCACGAGGACTCTGCCTGGCCCTTTGCAGACAGGTTTGCGCTCCCTCTCCCTGCCGTGGTGTTTCTGGGTTCCCTGTAACGGGCCAGGCTGGTTTCTTATCTGACGCTGGAGAGCTGCTGACAACTTCATTTCTAGTTCAGGGCAGGGGTCTCCATGGTTTCCACTGGGAGAGTCTGTTGTCAGCCTGGAGGCCCCGCTGACCTCCCTATGCCCTGACAAGTAGTGGTGCCAGCTCCAGGCCAGGCCTAGCCACACAGGGCTCACCTCCCAGGGAAGGGGCTTCCCTGCTCCCCACACCAAATCCTTATCCTTTACCCCGCCCCCACCCCAAATCACGTGCCCCAACTTCAGTCTGTTCAAAGTGCTCAGTCTTCAAGTCCCCTCAGGGCAGAGCCACAGAGATGCCAGGCCTCAGCTTCCTCGCCTGTGAGACGGGCATGCTTGGCTCTGCGCTGTTGAGAGGCAGGTGTCCTTGCCCTCGGCCGTTCCGTGTGCACGGAAGCTGAGCTCCTGAGTATTTGCAGGCGTTACATGGGTCCTCTTCAGGGGGAAGCCCGCTGCAGCTTCCTCCTCCGGTGGGCCTGGGGTGGCAGTTGTGTAAAAGGCCTCAGACCGGCTAGCGGGGCACATCAGAAAGGAGGCTGGGAGGTGGTCATGGGTCCGGCTGCCACTCACAGATCACCTGGTGACTCCTGGCGTTCCCTGGGAAGCGGGAGTACCCTCTTCAGGTCCTCAGGGCTGACAAGTGCTCAGACTCAACCATCCCTGCCTTGGGTCACCGCCCCCAGAGGACCCTCCGCAGTGGAGTGCAAGGATCCTGTTCACACTGCGGGGCATCCTGGCACCATGCAGAGGACGGGCCAGCCTCCGAGACCTTGACCGCGGCCCTGTGCTGCTGCTGAGCAGCTTGGGCCTCTCTGAGCCTCAGCTTTCCCACCTGTGAAAGGAGGGGAGAAGGGAAACTCTGTGTTGCCCCGATGGTCTGTCTGAGACGTCCTGGAAGGCCCTGATACAGTGGGGTCTGTGTCCTGAATGGCTCTTGGGTCAGAGCTGTGCTGGGTATGAACGGCTGTGTTGTCTTCACCCCGTATCTCATTCTGGGACATAGTTTGGGTACAAATGTTCCCCTGGGCGTTGTCCAGACACACATGAGAAACAGGGTGGGCAAGAGTGCCCACTTACAGGGGCTGCTTGCTGCCCCCAGAGAGAGGGGGAGGCCGCTGGCAGGACAGACCTGGTCTCTAGGCTCCCTTCTCCCTGTTCTCTAGGTATCCAAGGACCAGACAGTGGTTTCCACAAACTGCCACAGTTTACTGCAGCTGTGTGCAGACCCAGAGGGCCCCTGCCCCACCTTGTACGGGGTGGGGGTGGGGGGGCACGAATGGGGAGGGAAGGACCTGAAGGTGCCCCAAGGGATGCAAGGATACAAGAGGCTGCCCAGGAGCCATTGCCATGAAGACAGGGAGCACAGGTGAGGGGCGAGGGAGCCCGCAGGGCAGATGGCTCAGTGCAGACAGCCCAGCACGGAGAGCACACCTGTCTAGCTGGCCCTGAGGTTTAGGCTCCGGAGGCAGTGGGCTCGGCTCATGGCCATCGTCATGCTCAGCCTGGCTCACGGAGTGGAGGACCAGGGACTGCATCTGGCAAGGGTCTTGCTGGAGGGAACGTGGAGGCACCAGACAGTGGTTCCCACAACCTGCCACAGTTTACTGCAGCTGTGTGCAGGCCCAGAGGGCCCCTGCCCCACCTTGTACGGGGTGGGGGTGGGGGGGGCACGAATGGGGAGGGAAGGACCTGAAGGTGCCCCAAGGGATGCAAGGATACAAGAGGCTGCCCAGGAGCCATTGCCATGAAGACAGGGAGCACAGGTGAGGGGCGAGGGAGCCCGCAGGGCAGATGGCTCAGTGCAGACAGCCCAGCACGGAGAGCACACCTGTCTAGCTGGCCCTGAGGTTTAGGCTCCGGAGGCAGTGGGCTCGGCTCATGGCCATCGTCATGCTCAGCCTGGCTCACGGAGTGGAGGACCAGGGACTGCATCTGGCAAGGGTCTTGCTGGAGGGAACGTGGCGGGTACCACGTGGTGACAGCGAGAGCACACACACCGGTGTCCATTCTGTCCCCGCAGGTGCAATTCATGGGGCCCATTCTGCTCCTGGCCTCTCCCAAAGGCCCTGTCTGTCAGCACCACAGTCAGGGAGACAGACAGAGGGGAAGTGAGAACAACCCCCGGGGGGATGGCCACACCGCGGTTTCCTCTCAGGGCTTTGGACACGCACACACACACGTGGCCCGGGTGTTTCTCAAGTCACAAGGTCCAGGACTCAAACTATACAGTTGGCCATGTGAGTCCAGCTCACTGACCACCAGCCCACAGACTGGCCCTCGTAATCCTGTCACAACCAGATCTCAACCCGTGAATCTGGGGAGCAGTCAACCCCAGCAGCTGGCTGCAGTCAGACACCGCGACAGCGCAGAGGCTCTCGGCCACTGAAGGGCCGCTTGTCGGCGAAGCTGCATACGCTCTGGGGCTGGCCCGGGGCTTGCCCACTGTCTCGTGGTCCGGGCTGACAGAGCAGGGGCACACCAAGCAAATGAAGTCATGCTCAGGTGTGTCAGCAGGGATGTGACACAGCCACCGCCAGTCACCCTCCCTGCATGACCACCCCGCCCCGAGGGGCATGCTGCCATTGCAGAGTTCCCAGAGCACTTGTGAGGCTTGGGAACCACATCTGAGAAAGTCTCCTCTCCCCCGAGCCTCAGTCCCGTCTGTGAAATGGGACCATGGGCCCTTGGGTGTCTGCCGCGCGTGAAGGAACATGGCTGGGGTGCTCCCGATCCCAGTCCCAGGCAGAACCCTGAAATGGAGAGGGCTGTGCCCACCCTGCCCTTTCCTCTGGAACTGGAGGAGAAGGGAAATAGAGACCAGCATGGTACTGGGAAGCCGGACAGGGCCCAGGAAGCCGCTCTCTGAGCTGGGGCAGCATGGAGCCTTGCATGGGAATGCACGTGCACCCGCCCCCAGTGAGGCGGCTACTCCGCAGTCCCTGCCAGGTGAGGGGGAGACAGGAGAGATTAACATGCCCTCCCTGCACCGCACCCTTGATCCAGTGTCCACTGCATGGACAGACAGCACCTGGTGTGCCCGGGCAGAGGGGGCCCCAGGGCTGAGAGTGCTCAGGAGGGAGGGCTTCCTGGACAAGGTGGCTTTGAGTGTATGTGGGACGGGGACAAGACTTGAGTGCGGGGAATCACCGGCACCATGTGCCATACGCAGGGTGGTCAGGGCTAAAGTTTCAGCCTACAGCTGAGTGCCCCCCGGCCCCTGTCCAGCAGGAAACGCCCCGGCAGGACGGTGTATGCCCAGATGCACAACGAGAAGGAGCAGGAAATGACGAGCCCCGTCAGCCACAGCGAGGACGTCCAGAGCGTCATCCAGGGTGAGGAGTTTATAGATGATGACCTCGACTCGCAGACTCTAGGTAACGCCCGCCCCGGAGCCGCCTCTCCCTCCCCAGGCTCCCGGTCTGGCCAGCAAGGTCCCAGGATGCTGGGCACAGACCACACAGTGTCCCCGGGCCTACTGTGTCCCTTCCACCTGACGAGGCAAAGCTGGGGTCCTCCCAGGACTCCCACGGGGTTTAAAGGTGGGGGCACCTGCCTGGCAGCCAGTAACAGCCGCTCCCGCCCCACGAAGGCAGGGAAAGGGCAGAGCAGAGGGCTGGCTCCCACACAAAGCAAATGCTGGCCCCAAGATGTGGGTCCTTCCCCAGAGCACCCCTTCAACATGCCCAGCTTCCTGCTCACCAGAACCGATGGCTTAGTGTGACATCCGAGTGTGCACATGGACGTCAGCACCTGTGCACAGGGACGGCTCTGATGGGAGCGCTCACTGCTGGCCGTGCTGGGGGATGTACCATTCCTCCATGGCTCCCTCACACCCCAGACCACCTCAGTGGCAGCCCTTAACAGCCATTTTCCCGCATGATCTCTGAGGGGGGCCTGGGCTCAGCCACTGGTTCTCTCTTGGGGTCTCTCGCGAGGTTGTAGCTGATAGCTGGAGCTGCGGTCATCTCAAAGGCTTCCCCACCCCGATGCCTGGTGATTGATACGGGTGTCCGCTAAGCCCACCACTGGGGCTCCCCACCAGAACCCCTGCACGTGGCCTCCGGTGTGGCTTGGGCTCCCTTGCAACATGGCGCCGAGTTCCAAAAGCCAAGCATCACCTTCACCACCCAGGCTCCTACTCGTGTCCTGTCTCTCTGGGGGCTGTTGAAGCAGCCACAGAAATGTGCCCATGCCGAGGGGAAGGGGCGCAGACTCCACCTCCTGGCAGGGAAGGAGCCAGCTGCGGAGAGCAGGCGCATGAGCAGGGAGCGTGCCACAGCCCGCACAGAGAAGCACGCAGCGCTTCCTCCTGACGGGGACATGCTCCCCGAGGGTCGGGCCGGGCCGCCGTCGGACCTGTGCCTACCGCACAGGAGCAGCTGCGCCTGCAGAGCGCCCACCGGGAGCCAGGCTCGCAGCACGCTTGCAGGGGGCCCTCACCTCGGCAGCCTTGGAGGCAGGCTCTTCCTTAGGGAGGAGAGGGCCGCGCAGAGGTGAAGTGTCATGCTCTGGTCATGGTTCACACGTAGGCAGACACCAGAGCCCCAGCCTCCCTGCCATTCCTGTCTGTGCCTTGCTTGGCGACACCGTTGGCACCCGCCTCCTGTGGTTGCCGTGGAGACACGGCTGGTGTGTCCAGAGCAGGGTGTGGGACACGGGAAGCACGTGGGAGTCTGAATGAGACCAACTGTGGTGTTACTCGCATCCTGGACCGAATGCGTCCTCAGAACCGGGAGGTAGTTCCTTCCCTCCCCGCTTACAGCATTGCCGGTGAGGCGCAGAGGGCGAGGCCACGGCCTCGGGGCCCCGCAGCTCACCAGCAGCTGGCCTTGAAACCAGCCTGACCCAAAGCTGGGAGCCCAGGCCCTGCTCCTGCCCTGGCCGGACCGCCCCCAGTGGGCATCCCTGACTGCAGCGTCTGCCAGCCCAGCTGTGTCTGGTTGGTACGACGCACCCACAGCCTCCGGGGACACAGAAACAATGAGTGCCGTGAACCGAGGTCTCGCCCTGTGCCAGGCCCGGGACCGGCACTGTCAGACATGGCCTCACCAGCTCCCCGTGAGGCAGACACTGGTGTGTCCATTTGACGGAGGAGACAGGTGAGGTTCGGAGCTGCGACCACCCTCCTCAGGTCAGTTACCTGACAAGAGGTGGGGCTGGGTCAAGGCCGCCTCTGACTGCACAGACTGCCTCCTCCCACCACCACCCTGCAGGCCCCCGCGCTCAGGGCGAGTGGCCTGCAGACCCAAGGACCTCTTAGAGCCGGCTGTCCCCCGCTCAGGGCTGAGGTGCTCTTGGGGCGCCACACCGCCGGCCCCCACCTCCCAACAAGTCTTCCAGACCCC